TTGCTGTTAGCATTTTAAAATGACTTTGCACTAGCATTGACTGTTTTGTATACTTAAAAAATATATTTGGATATCAAAATGTCATTTTCCTGGCATGTCCCAAACAATATTTTCAATAATAACTAGCTTCAAAACTTCCCATACATTTTTCAAAATCTAATTTTTTTTTATCTGATCCTATGTAAGCATTTCTAGAATATGCGCAGAGGGTATTGTTTACTAAAACTGTTATACATTTATAAACTTAAATTAACGCTAAAAGATAAATTAAATTAACATATTTAATTTAGTTTTAAAAACTAACATTATTCCATTGACAGTTTGTCAATGGACAGCAAAAATCCACTACTTCTTCTGGGGGGTTCTGAGAGTATTTAATGGTCAAAAAGATTGTGAAAGATATCAATTACTTTCCATTAATGAGAAATGGAAGTGTATTTTGTATCTTCCTGGGGGAACCATGCTGAAAATCCCTGCATACATTTATAATCTTCGTAATTTTTTTTCAATGTATAAATAAAATGAACAATTATGTTTTTCTTGTTCGAAAACTGTATCCTTTTTAGTGCAGTTTCGCAAGAGGTGGTTTATTTTAGATTAAAAATAAGAGGTTTTCACATTCTTCTTGATTTTAGTTTTGCTCAGACTCTAAAGTTTATTGAACGTATTCATAATATTTGAAAATTTCTTTACATTATTAAACCACTTTGCCTCAAGTTATGTTTTTGTTACCACTTTGTTTCTTGTCAAAGTTTTTTCTTTCGTTTGAAAATTTTATCCTCCATTTTTGTGAAGTTTTGAAAGGAGTGTTTTATTTTAGAGTAAAAATAAGTGGTGTTTACATTCTTCTTAATTTTAGTTTTGCTCTGACTCTACAGTTTTTTGAACGCATTTATAAGATTGGTAAATTGTTTACATTATTGTTTACATTGTTTTAAAATTGTTTACGTTACACTTTGGTTCTTGGTATATTTTTCTTCTCTCTTGTAAATTTCTTTACATATGGCAGAATGATATTTGTTATGGTTTTGTCGCCACTTTGATTCTTATTATATTTTTCTTGACTGAAAATTGCATCATCTTTTTTGTGAAGTGTCGTAAGAAGTGTTTTTTTAAGAGTAAAAATAAGTGGTGTTCACAATCTTCTTGATTTCAGTTTTACTCAGATCAAGTTGTCAGGACGAATAATCAATTCTCATCGAAAATGGCTGTCCGTAAGCAGATTAAGGTTATATGCAATTAATTTAATTTATTTTTACAATAATTTATTTATACAACAATTAAATTTAAAAATTTTGTAGGAGGTTCATAAAAGAATTACATGAAAACCACATTTTGCCTAAGGGATTCAAAATCATGGAAATCACTTTGTTTACAATAAATTGAAAAAACGAGATATAATTCTGATGATATCTCGAGAGAATAAGAAGAATCTCGAGAGAATATGGAGAATAAGATACTTCACATTCACGCCATTGCTTTCGTGTGAGAAAATTTCTAAATTCATAAAAAAAAAAAAAATTTAATTATTTCATATGAATGAGTAATATTGAAATATACCATTTGAAAAGAAATATTTCTTAAACTGCGTTATCTTAATACTTGTACTTAAACGTAAAAAAATACTGCGTCACTGTCAATGAGTCTATTAGTTTCATAAAACTTTTCAATGTATAGCATATTTTTTTTTCAGAAATAAGTCCAGTATTTATGAATCTTAGGTAATATTTTGTCTAGTTTTGTATCTTTACGATATAGTGACCTCCCATTATAACGACTTTTTATGTTTGAACCACGGAAGTCGTCAATCATCGACGGCATTAAAATTTCCAAATATTTTGTTATTGCTGTTAAAATATGCATAAATAGTTTACTATATTCAGTATAGACTGTATTCTCGCTGGACGAATACGTTCATTTATTTTAATCTCCAAGTATCTTCTAACAAAGATTAAGATAAAATCAATGTCAGCTTTCTACTAAAAATTTCTTATTTTTCATAATATTTGAAATTATAGTCATATTTAAATAACTAAATACTTTGATCTTGTTAAAAATATCTTTTACTCTTAATTAAATTAAAGTTTTTATTCTGTAGCTTCGTTTTAAATGTTTAATATATTTTTTAAATAGATATATTATTAGACAGGTATCCCATTCACCATGCATTGTCGCTATACTGTTAAAATTTTTATTCTGAAATTACAGTAAAACAACCGGCAACAATCTGTTCATACAAATAATCGTAATGTTTATGGTAAAGAACATCTTTCCTTTGCGTTTTTGATATTGTTTACCACTTGTATGATAACTACAATACAACAATATAACAAACAATAAAAACTATAACAAACAATAAAAACTACGCTTTTTTTAACAATTTACAACTAGCATGTCTTCAATACCGTAAAAAGTAATACAATTACATATTTTTTTCAACTAAAATACTCTGATTTCTAAAATGTATGGAGTAAGTTATTTATATCGTTAACTGCAATTTATCTGATTGCATATTTACATCCTCTAGCTGTTTTTACTTTATGCATGAAATAATAGTTTTTTTTATATATAATAAAAAGATTGATATTTCCTAATAATATATTTTCTATGCCTTTGTTAACATTAGGAAAGATATATTTTTGTCCAATGCAACATTGATATTAAGTAAATATCTGTAAAAAAAGTTTCATTCGAAATCAAAAGTTCTTTATCTAATTTCGAAATACTCATTCATTTTTAAATTTAGTTTTTAAACAATGAATGAAAGCCTTCATTAAACAAAAGGAAATGAAACATTATTCTAATACATTGAACAAAACCTATTGTTTTATGCATAAAGGTTGTTCGTAAAAACGAAATATTATCACGAAATCATGTCTAAACAGGTGTTCTGACGATATATTTAAAGCTGTTGTTCAACATTAGTTCGGATAAATAAAGTCTGCATATTTTGGGGTGAACACATTTATCAACTATTTCAGATATGGAGAAGTTATACATAATTTTAAATATGTTAGCATCTTCCTTGCTTGTAGTTGCACAATGCCCAGTAAAACTTGGTGTTCCACAAAGACCATCGCAAACAGCTCATTTGGGGCCATGCACTGTTTATATCAGATGTGGAGATGCAGGTAAAAGCGTTTTTAAAATAAACTTTCATAAACCCTCCTAATAATCCTTTTCTATTCACGAAAGATTTGTTTTTTGCAATTTACAATTCTATTAAGAATAATTGCTGTAATAAGAACTAAGATTTACAGTATTATTATTCTAATACAAAGTCCATTGTCTTACGCATAAATATTGCTCTTAAAATCGAAATATCATCATGAAATCGTAATTAAACTGGAGTTCCTAAGATACATTTATGGCTGAATTCACTATCAGTGAGGTTAAAATAAGCCTGCGTATTGTAGGGAAAAGACATTTGTGAATTATTTCAGATATGGAGAAGTTAAATATAGTTTTAAGTATTTTAGCTTTCTTGCTTGTAGACGCGGCATGATCGTCAAAAACTAGAACTAGGGAAAGTCAGTCGCATTTGGGGCCATGTACTGTTTATACTAGATGCAGGTGAAAACGCTTTCAAAAAAAAATTTATAAACTCTATTAGTTTTCATTTTCAGATCACGAAAGAATTTTTTTTTACAATTTTACAATTCTGTTAAAAATAATTACTGTAATAAAAATAAGGCTTTCTACTATGAATAAGATATTGTGGTTTTTGAGCTTATTTCCAAGTAAATTAATATTTTTTTAATAAATTTATTTTAAGTTAAATTAATCATTATTTATTTCATTTTAAATTAACATTTTTTTTAATTTAGTATTTTTTTATTGATTTGTATTTTAGTTTTATTATTAATTACTTACTTATCTAGTAATTTTAATTTACTTTTAATTTTTTGTCGGAGAAATTGTCGCGCTGAAGCTGTTAAGTGATAGAAGCAATGGGACATTTTTGTTACAGTTTTTTCATTAATTTGTCAAAAGTGCTTTTAATCTATGTGTGCAAATCTTGGTCAATGCTTTTTCAATTCAGCAGTTTTTTCGAGATTCTTTATCGTTGCTGCAATACGGGATGTATTAAGTTGGGATGCAGATACGCAGGATAATAAAGTATTAACCTTTGGAATGACTTGTCCTGGTTTGACACTTGTCACCGGGAATGCACGATAATCTATACTGTTTTTTCACACTATGTAAATTTTTTTGTATTTAATATTTCCTTAACAGTGTGTTATTAGAAAGTAAAGGACCGATTAATCACGTCATATGTATTGTAAAAACACTAACAAAATGAAGCAGAAAAATTTTAAAATAAGCTTTGTGTAAGCTGTGTAAAAATTGTAATGCTGTGTTTGATGATAAATGCTTTTATACATTTCATTATACTTAAAAAATCTGTAGTACAACTGCTAAATACTGATGAGAAGGAGTGAAAGTAAGTGATATTAGAAAACAATGTCACTCTATCCTCGCAATGTAAAAAAATTCTGATTAAATTACTGTAAAATGCACAGGCACCCTGAGTAGCACCCTGATTCATAAAAACTATTTTACGGAAATTTATCTTTAGTGTTAAATTTTATACCGTAATTTTTATAGTAATATTTATTCAATTTCAATGATTTAGTAATTTTATAGCAAATATTACTATAAAAATTACGGCAGATCAAATTTTTCTTCAGTAAATCTCTATGGTGAAATAAATTTTACGGTTAAAAAAAAAGCTGAAATCCTGAATGCCAGTACATTTTAACGTATTATGATCCAGACTTTCTTACAGATTACAAAATACAACACAATACTGATAATGTAATCTTTGACAGTGTATAATCACTGATAATGTAATTTTTGACAGTGCAAAATATCCTGTTATAAATAAATTATATATGTATTAGTATCAGCTAAAAAACCTGTTATAAATGTATTATTATCAGCTAATGAAACTCAGGAATTGCTACTATCATACTTATATTACCGTGCTCTCATTTTAGAGGAAGGCATGAGGTCAAAATTTGATGCATGTGTTGAAAAAATAAGCGATGAAGTAAGATATATTTTTTATTTACATTACATTAAGTATTTTTCGTTACTTCTAGTTTTAATAGATTTCAAACATCTGCTTCTATGGTAATGTTTCTATAGTTCCAATATTTTTATTTCTATAGTCAATGTCGATTATTTTTTTACTTCATAATGTTTGGTTGAATATGGAGAAAATTATTGTTTTTTTTTTCTCTAAATATTATTCAAAGTGATTTATTCATATATTGGTTAAAGTTAAATCAAGGATGTATATTCCGTTTTGTTTGTTGACCTTTTATCATCACTCAGTCATCTTCATAATTCCTCTTTCTTTGAATGATCTGCTTTTATTTTTGAAAAGCTGAACAAGGTACTGATATGCTGGCTCATCTGAATTCTCACGGGAGCTTTTAAGAGAGCGAAACAAGCTGGAGTCTCACGATGTAAAGTCAGGTGAATATGGTGTGTGAGGCAACATATCCCATTCAAACACCAATAACTTTTGATGGGTAGCCAAAGATGCATATGGTTTCGCGTTGTCGTAATGAAACACCTCTTTTACGATTGATGAGCTTACGAAGTTTCTGGATGACAGTTTCCTTCAAAATGTCCGATTGATAGCATTGCACCTCTGAATTGATTGTTTTGTTCCATAATTGGAGCTTAAAGAACACCACACCCTTTCATTATTGTAAACTATTCACTTCTTATGACCAGTTATCATTCATTTCGAAAAAGGGTCGTTTTTGTCACTTTTCATGATTTTCGCTGATATTTATTCGTGCAGCCAAATGAACTCCATTTAGTCCACGAGGAACTCAAATTTCGAGCTTCTTTACGAATTGCAGTTACTTTAGATGGACATGAACATTTTTTAACCCATCTTCAATATCTCTGCAAATCTCTCGTCTCATGAAACGTGGGCTTGGATGGATTAATGTCTTCATAATTTCTTTACCAATCTGAGAAGATTTTCTAGATCGAGAAGCAACATTCAAATTAAAATCACTTGCTTGAGAACTCTTGAACCAGTTTTTGCATCGACGTTATTGTACATTATCGTTACGGTAAACTTTGTGCAATTTTTCACAAGCATGATGCGAGTTTTGCCCTTTGGGGAAATAAAATAGTAAAAACATTGAACATTTTAATATGACATGTTTAATGTGCTGTCAAAACTCCAAAATGTGAAAATGTCACTATTTAATTTCTGCAACGAAGTTTTAACTTCGTTGCAGAACCAACGGCTTCGTTGCAGTTTACCAACGACGTTAAAACTACTATTGCAATTGCTTCAAGTATTTCAGAAATTACATTACTGCCATCTGTAGTAAAAAAAAATCAATAATGTTTTACTAAACTCAATAAATTCAAACGAATCTTTAAATCTTTACTTAACTAAGCCTTAGTTATGTTAAGTTATTAAGCATTAGTTATTTGCCAAGGTTTCCTATGCAATTTATATTCTGCATGTTTGCTTTAATGAAATTTTCATTCTAAATTGATGCGAGTAAATTAAAAAAGCAGAAACGCGTAGAAGAAATTGGGATACTTTTTTCTTGAAAAATCATGCCTAATTTCAGCTTGCCAGTCAAATTAGCGTTTATTGAATCATGTTTTAAAAATAATTTTTATTTAGTGTTTGTGTTTTATGTATTTTTTTCAAAATATTCAATTATTTCCATGCCTTTTAAGGCACTCTGTTATTTGTACTATGCATTGTACAAACAAACCCTGCAGCATTTTGTCAACTGGGTTACTTAGGTAGATAAGGAACTACTGGTAATAAGTTCACGCACTTTTCAGTTTGCTAGGGTGACAAGAATAATTCTAGTTTTGGTTCCGAGCAAAAAGAATTTATATATGCTTTCTTCTTCTGTAAAAAAATTAACATTTGGTGACAGAGTTGGCAGACAAACTTTAACAATCAGATATTTTTGATTCAATAATGTCTCTAAAATCAAATATTGTTATTCCAGAAACCAGGGTAAAGTCAGCTATCAGATGTGCTCAATTGAAACTAAGCGTACCTCTCGAAAATGTTACCTTAAGCAAAAACAAATTTGAGAAAAGTTTCTTATTTGTTTTCATCTAATTATTTATTATTTTCTTTCAACTTAGTTACTGTTACAGCATTTTTCTTCAAGTAGCCGGCGAGAGGGTGTACCTGGGCTGAGTGGGTGAAGTACGTCTGGAGTGTATACTCCTGGTAGGGTCACCCTAGGCGTGAAGGCCACTGCATTATGCTCAGTTAAAGTCTGCAGGCACTCAGGGCTAAGTCAGGCTTCTCCCTCTGGTGCTCTAGACCTTCGGAAGCTGCTCAAATTCTCTTCAAATGAATCCAGCTACTGAGAGCCCATCAAACTGCCTTTTCACGCTTCTTGAACTTTCAATCGGGGCCAAAAAAACTTATCCTGAATGTCATTGGTGCTCGACAGACATGGCCTCCCTGAGCATATTTTGACTTGTTTGGGGTTCGGTACAGATGTAGTCCTGCGAGACATTTTTATGGACTTTTTGGGGATGTTCGGATTCATGGGAGGCGTCTAGCGCTGCTAGACGATTCCGAGATTAGCAACAACAACAACGTTTTTCTGCTGGACCTTTATCTTCGAAAAATAAATAATTTGCTCCCTTATTTTTAGAAACCTTATAACATTACTATTTCTTCCCCTTATCCATTTTGTTGCTCTTAATAATGGGACAGAAGGCAATTTGTGCTGGTTCTAGATGAAAAGCAAAAACAAATTAACCCGGCTTTATGAACATCAATCTTTCTCAAAAAAGTTCGTTTCTTTTACACTTGACTAACCAAATGCCGTTTCTGCATACTACGGGTATAGTAAAAAATCAATAAATTGGTATAAATTAATACATCAAAATCAATCATAAACAAAACAGAAAGACTTATAATAACACAATTATAAAAAATTAAACGATTCCAATTTTGTTATTTAAGTTAATATTTGTTGTATCTCCGAGTGGGTTTCCTATATTAAAGTCATATCAAGTTTTTAAATCACGTTAATCCCATTGAAATAACAATTAAATCTGGAATCATTTAGAAAGAATGCTATTGCTCATGACCAAATCTTATTAGGGAGAATTGATATCAACCAAGTTATTTATCCTTCAATAATCTCTTTCGGAGGCTTGAAAAACCAATTACATCAGTATTTAAATTAATTGACTATATTTGTTTAATTGGCATATTACAAAACAAAAAATATTTTTTATAATATTTTTGTATTATGATAATATAATTGCTTAAATATTTTTTTGTGGTTTCTCGAATGAATTAAGCACCATTTCTCCTATAGTTTTGCACTTTAGTGTATGACTCTTTTTATTTCAATTTCAATTAACGTTGATTTTATATTTTTTAGTATTATAGAAACACCTTTCAAATGCATAACTTAACCAAATAAGCACGTGGCTTCACATAACTTTAGGAATACCTAATTGGTTTCCTTTATCATTGATATTACCAGACGTAACGAATAAAAGATAATTAAATATTTAAAAAAACATTTTCAAACATAATCACTGTTCTTACATTTCAAGCATTTGGAAAAAATTGTCCTCCGTTTTATTTATAACAATGAGAGAAAATACTAAAACAATGAGAGAAAAAAAGATTCCACTTTTAATGTTTTTTTTTTGGAGTTTTTGAATTTTCAAACTCTTTTTAGGATCGGAGAATAACATTTCTCACACTCTGTCAAAATTTGACATTGCTCAAATTCATCAACAATGCTGAAAATATAAGAGACACACACGTTCACAGACAGATAAACAGATAATGATTACAGATAGAAAAAATTATTTAGTTTTTTTGGTGTGGAGTTTTAGGATAGTTATGACAAAAAAGGGTTAAAAATGTTCTATGAAATTTTATTTTTCAGCATGTCACAATAATTCTTAATGAAGTTGGTGAAAATGGCGTTTATACATTCTCTGCCACAGAAGTGAAGTCCGCTTTCGTAGAATATTGTGAAATGAACTATAAAAAACAAGTAAGAATATAATATTTATTTTTTAAATTTATTTTTAGAAGCATAAATTTTACATTTGACTCCCGGTGGCTTAGTGGTAGCGTTTCACGCTCCCGTGCCACAGATCCTGGGTTCGATCCTCGGGCCGAGCAGGGTTGACTTAACCTTCGATCCCTTCAGTGGGTCGATAAATGAGTACCAATCATGCGTGGGAACTAAACACTGGGGGTATCGCGCTCGGCTGACCACCTTATTGAAACATCTGCTGCTGCACACCAGAGCCCAAGGTCAAGAAAACTGAGATGGGCACAGTAGGCCTTAGCTCTCTATAACATGTCGCGCCGCAGAGTTTAGTTTAGTAGTAAATTGTACATTTAAAGGATATAATTGCTTTGGTTCGAGTAATATTATAAATACAAAATTTTCATCTCTTCAAGAGTTAGTGAATTTTATTAAAAAAATTATATACAGTTTCAGATTTGTATACCTATTTAAGCATACCTTAAATCAATCAACCTACATTATTGGAACAGCCTACATCAATTGTTACGATTTGAATTTTTTTGACAGTTTTTTTAAATGTTCAGAAAAAAGACAAATAAATATTATTTGTTTGATATGGTTTAATATTTAGTTACTATCACCGTTTTGGGTTACAACACTGACAGTACTTAGAGGCTCAAGGTTTCGGTCTTATTGAGCAGATCCAAAAGATACTTCTAATATATATTTATTTCGTAGAGTCCAAGTTTTATTAAAAAATAGATTATAATTTAGCTAATAGATGGCACTGTCCATTTAAAATCATACCCGCATAATATAATACACACAAGAGCAAATATGATATAAAAATGAAATGGAAGACATTATGCATAATCAAACAAAATACTTATTGCACATCTGCATGTATTAAGAGTTTTGAACTATCTTTTACAGAATAAGCATGATTAAAAAGTTAAACAGTAGTTTTTTAAATATTTGGGTAACAGCTCTTAAGAAATTTCATAAATTTTTGGGATACAAAAATCTCAAAATAAAAAAATTGGGCCTTGTATTCTATATATTACCTATCCTGAGGTCAGAGAAAATAGTGATCGGAAGGAATTATTATGTATAGCACCGCCTTGTTGTTGTTGTTTCTGATGACACATGCCAATATCAGCAAACCTGCTTGCTGATATTAATCCGTGAGAACGAGAAGATCAGAACAGATAAACATATATTTGCAGTTTTGTTCATGCATTTTTTTAAAAAAAAGTAGCATAAAAAATAGTGACAACTCCTTTATACCAAAAATGGTGTAACAGAACACCACAATTCTTGGTGTACAGAATTTACATTTTCGCATTTTTTGATAAAAAAAAGTTGTTTGCATTTTTGGTGATATTAATATTAAAATTTGTAATAACAGTAAGATAGAATCAACACAATAGTGAGAAAAGTTATTTTTACGAAAAATTTAAAGTAAAGATAGTACGGTTAGAATTCATAAATTTGATTCTACATAAAATAAATTAAACTAGTAAATCAAACTCTAGCATACCAGAGAAAGAATATTAGTAAGAATTGGTGTAAAATTTTCATTTAACATAACTGGTACGGATAGAACTTAAAAATGATGAAATTATTCAAAGCAAATCAACAGCAAACTTATGCCAATACTCACTTGATTGTAAATAATCTTCTGCCGATATTCAAAGTACGCCAGAATTAGTGTTTCCGGAAACTAAAATAATTCAAGAATGGTGTGAATGTGCTTTAGTTTGGTGTAAATATTTTCAATAAATGATATTTAGGTTTAACTGTATCCTTTAAAATATTTGTGAACGTTTTATTTATTCATAAACAGAAATAAAGGGTTCCAAAACAAATTTCTTTGGGGATGTTCAACATTTAATCTGGAGAACTATTAAACTACAGTTTTAAAGCGTATATTTAGTATAGCAAATCACATATCAAGAAACAAAAACATTTCAAAAAATTATTACTTTTTATTTAGCTAGAAGTTTCTGAGGAATTTATAAAAAGTATTGTTGGCATGTATCATGTAAGTAGTTTTTCATTTATATTTATTTTAAATATTTTTTATAATTAAAAAGGATGCAATTATTATTTTTTTTAAGATTTAATTTAAGATTTGTTTCAAAGTTTTAAAATTTGAAACTACTTTTGTGGTATTATTTATTTTTATTAACTTAATAAAGTATAAAAATAATAAATAATTTAATTAATAATATAAATAATCTAAACAATAAAAATTCTTTTTACTTGAGATCACGCGAAACTTCAAAAATTACATTATTATGCGTAATGGTTCTAAAACATGCAAGCAGCATATTTTTAAGTGTAATTTCATTTAAACTTTTAAACTTTAAAGCATGACCTTTATACAGCATTATGCATGAGGCATTTTTGTCTGAACATAATTATCAAGATTATGAGAGATAAGATAGCAAAGTAATGTCGCATGTATTTTAATATGCATTGAATTTAAAGTAACAAAAAAACTTACGTAACTTGTAATCAAATACTCAAATTTTCCCATTTTGCAAAACTATCGAAGTTTTATATAGGCAAAAATTGAATCAATTAATAATATGTGCCACTTATTATTATTATTTTCGTAAAATTTTGTATTTATGGGCATTTGGACAACACGAGGAGAAGAAAAAATTTGAAAACAAAAATTAAAATTTGATTATACACTGAAAAAAAGGTATGGCCCCAACTGCCAGATAATGGCAAAATTGACTATGTTTATGACTCAATGGTAACACTAAGTACTCATTAATTTTTAAAGAAGAGATTTTGAAATTAGCAGTAAAATAACACCTTATTATGAGTATTAAAATGTGGAAAATGTAGTAGAATTTGGTAATTTTATCATACCACCTTAGAACCTAGCATAAAAAACCATTGATTTGGTTCAATTACTTTCTAGTCAAGTATTGTTGCTAGTTGTGTTATAATAAGAACTATAATTCTCTTGAAAAACAGAATTTGCGCTAAACCGTTATATTTTTGTATGAAACAATTTCCATATAAATGATTTAAATACCATATATTCAGAAATGTCATTACCAAACAGTACCGTAATTTTAAAGCATATATATAT